CTGCTTGTGTGGGACTGAAGAATTGAACCCAGGGTTTCATGCATGCTAGGTAAGCATTCTATCACTAAGCCACATTCCCAGCCTAGGGGAAAGAATCTTTAAACATACAATCAGGCGGGGCTGGGAATGTGGCTCAGTGGTAGAGTGCTTGCCTAGCATGCATGAAGCCCTGGGTTCAATTCCTCAGTACCACATACACAGAAAAAGCTGGAAGTGGCTCTGTGGCTAAAGTGGTAGAGTGCTAGCCATGAGCAAAAGAAGCTCAGGGACACTGCTCAGGACCTCAGGACTGGCCAAAAAGAAAAAAGAAAAAAAATATAATCAGGCATCAAATTTTATATCTAAGAGTAGCACAGGAATTGAAAACAGAAAAAAATCAAGGAAGAACTAGGTACTGGTGGCTCACGCCTATAATCCTAGCTACTCAGAGGGCTGAGATCTGAGGATTGCAGTTCAAAGCCAGCCCCAGAAGGGAAGTCTGAGACTTTTTTTGTGTGCGTGTGTGTGTGGGGGGGGGGGGTTGAACTCAGGGTTTAGGCACTGTCCTTGAACCTTTTTGTGCTCAAGTCTAGTGCTCTACAACTTGAGCCACAATGCCACTTCTGTTCTTTGAGTGCCTAATTGGAGATAAGAGTCTCATGGGGACTTTTCTGACTAGGCTGGTCTCAAACCACAATCCTCTGATCTCAGCCTCTTGAGTAGTTAGGATTATAGGCATGAGCCACTGTCATCTAGCTGTATGAGAATTTTTTTTTTTTTGGTCATGGGGCCTGAACTCTGGGCCTGGGTACTGTCCCTCAGCTCTTCAGCTCAAGGCTAGCACTCCACCACTTGAGTCACAGTGGCCACGTCTGGCTTTTTCTGCTTATGTGGTGCTGAGGAATTGAACCCAGGACCTCATGCATGCAAGGAAAGCACGCTACCACTAAGCCACCTTCCCAGCCCCACTATGATGCTCTTATAGCTAATGAACCACCATAAAACCAGAAGTAGAGCTATGGCATAAAGTGGTAGAGCATTAGCCTTGACCACAAAAAGCTTAGAGACAGTACCCAGACTCTGAGTTTGAGCCCCATGACCATCACCAATAACAAAGGCACCATATAAAGGATACGACTGGCCAGCTAACATATATTAAAAGATATTTTTGGGCCGGGCACTGGTGGCTCACGCCTGTAATCCTAGCTACTCAGGAGGCTGAGATCTGAGGATCGCAGTTCAAAGCCAGCCCGGGCCGGAGAGACCATGAGACTCCTATCTCCAATAAACCACCAGAAAACCAGAAGTGGCGCTGTAGCTCAAGTGGTAGAGTGCTTGCCTTGAGCTGGAGAGCTGAGGGACAGTGCCCAGGCCCAGAGTTCAAGCCCCACGTGACCGACCAAAAAAAAAAAAAAAGATATTTTTGTCTTAGGTCAAGAAATATTAAAATCCCTGATCAAGGCTAATATTGACAAGCATATCAATGGCTGAGAAATTAAAAATTAGGAAAATGGAGTAGAAATTTGGAAATAAGGGTTGAATTAAAAGTGGCAATTATGGGCTGGGAATGTGGCTCAGTGGTAGAGTGCTTGCCTTGTATGCATGAGGCCCTGGGTTCAATAAGCAGAAAAAGCTGGAAGTGGCACTGTGGCTCAAGTGGTAGAGCACTAACCTTGAGCTGAAGAGCTGAGGGACAGCATCCAGGCCCAGAGTTCAAGCTCCACAACTGATCAAAAAAAAAAAAAAAGTGGCAATTGTACTTTTAGATAACACCTTGGATAGATTCTACCCTATTTAAAGAAATCAGAAAATGTACAAATCAATATCCAACACATGACTTTTATTACAATGCAAAGCAGCTTCCATCCTAATCACTACTGGATATAGAAAAGCACCAACTTTCCATTTAAGCAGCAGCTACTTTTTCAGAGCATGATAAGAGCTGCCAAAAAGTCATTGGACTCACATGCTCCTGACATAACCGCTCATCAAGTCTAAAATGTCACAAAGATACTCCAAAGTAGTTATAAGGCATGTTAACAGGTAACAGAACTGAGAATTCTACAAAGAGGTAAATTGAAGATAACACTCAAATACAAATTTCTTAGTACATCTTTTGACAAGCTGATAATGTATTCAAAACTCCCCAATACGTTTTCTTGCCTATGTCATTTGCACATCTCCCCTATCCCCCCAATCAAGTATCTCGTATTCCCTGAAACAAACAAACAAAAAAATTTTTCTTGGTTGGTCATGGGGCTTGAACTTAGGGCCTGGATACTATCCCTGACTCATTTGCTAGCACTTTACCAATTTTGAGCCACAACACTCTCTGGTGTTGAACCATGATCCTCAGATCTCAGCCTCCAGTGTGGCACCTGACTTTGTGAGACTTTTATCTCCACCAGAAGCAGCCAGAAGTAGAGCTGTGGCTCAAGTGGTAGAGTGCTAGCCTTGAGCAAAAAGGAGCTCAGGGACAGTACCTAAGCCCAGAGTTCAAGCCCCAGGACTAGCAAAAAAAAAAAAAAAAGTGTGCTGATGGCTATGTTTGTAATCCTAGCTACTGAGAAGGCTGAGATCTGAGGATCTGTGTTCAAAAAGCCAGCCCAGGCAGGAAAGTCCATGAGACTCTTATCTCCAATAAACCATTCAGAAAACTAGATGGGGCACCGTGGTTCAAGTGGTAGATAGAGTGTTAATCTTGAGCTAAAGGACTGCGTCCAGGACGAGTTCAAGCTCCACCACACGTGTGTGCACACGTGCACACACACACACACACACACACACATATACATCTTATAGACTTTCCTGACCAGTTAACTTTGAACTGAGTCTCAGATGTCAGCCTCCTGAGTAGCCAGGTTTATAGGTGTGGGCTGCTGGTGACCAGCTTGAAACAAAACTTCTGAAGGGGGGGAGGAGAAGGGTTGGGATTGGGGGGGAGGGGGGAGGCTGGGAAGGGATGTGAAGGGTAAACCAAAGGAGGAGGCTGCAATGCTTGGTAATAAATGTACGCATTATCCTGCCCATGTAATTGAAACCCCTCTGTACAGTATGTTCACAAATAAAAAATAAATTAATTAAAAAAAAAACTTCTGAAGGGCGTTGGCTTTAGGCTTTTTGCTAGGTGAAATATAGCTCTGGAGATATCTGATGCCTAGGAAAAGAAAAACACACTAACTTACAAAACTAGTTTTTAAAAAAATAATTCTCCAAGACCTTGCTTACAACTTGAGTAACATGATTTTCCAAAGTAAAGCTAGTCTGGATTTTTATTATTATAAAGTCTAAGGCTAAATTAGTTGGTAAAATCTTACCAGTGGCACCACGATTTTCTCATCAGCCTCAGTCCATAATCCTATTTCTGCTAAGTAGCTGGGATTACATCCATTCCCTGTAACAGCTAGCACTGATAATTTCCCAATAGTTGTACCTCCTTGAACTTCATACTTTCTTTTTTTGTGGGGGGTCTGGTTGTGGGGCCTGAACTCTGAGCCTGGGCACTGTACGTCAGCTCTTCAGCTCAAGGCTAACGCTCTACCACTTGAGCCACAGCGCCACTTCTGGCTTTTTTCTTTTTGCTTATGTGGTGCTGAGGAATCAAACCTAGGGCCTCATGCATGCAAGACAAGCACTCTACCACTGAGCCACCTTCTCAGCCCCTCATACTTTTTCTTTTCAGCATGCAATTTGTGATGTAACTCAAGTCATGGAAGGCTTCTCATGGTCACTATCGTTTCCTAGACTTTACTAAAATACATTCTAGATG